AAAAGTCAAATGCGGATCCATCTAGCGCCTTGTTGAGCGATTTCGTTGATTGGCACGATCTGGTGACTTTCGATAAATGAATCCGTTGCTGGCCTTCTTCACTCCCATTTTTAGTACTCTGAGCTCTTTAGCCGGGCATAAAGACGATGCCTAGACAAATGAGTGTTGGCAATTCGTCGAGATTTTGTGAAAACATAAACGAAACTTTTTGTTTAGCGCCGCCATGACTAGCGAATAGCGCGCATATATACACTGTTAAGATCTTTACATGGTGCTTTCCACGAGAATATGTAGTGCGCAGTGACGTCTCCGTCGGCCAGTAAGGCATTTTTATCTTGTCTGACGGATCTTCCTTTCTTAACAGGCCCCATGCACATGTCAGAGGAAAAAGGTACCTGCCAATTGCACACTTGACACCGGTTCGGTCTTCAGGCGCCCTAAAATCGGAGGCACAATCATTCCTGCAATAGACTTGAATGTGATTTTGCATTCTGTACGGCAGGAGGACATAGTTTTTCACATCAGAAGGCGGCTTCTTCAGATTCCAATAGCATAGATGCGTGACAAAACGCATCGTTTAAATTAAGTCTCGCTCTCACTCACTTAAGCTAATGTCAAGTAAAATGACTGTTTTGCGCTTAGCCCGTCTGTCCAAAACTTACGGAATCTTCGCGACCCAACCTTGGCTTGTTTTATCAATTCAAATAGTCTGATTGGTTTGGGGGGTCCAGATGGAGCCATTTTTGCCACTTGGGTAAGCCAACTTAGCCCTGGTTCTTATCAGTTAAGCAGCAAATACGCAGAAGTACATGATGATTTCTGTGGTCTGTCAAGCCCGTTCTTCGTTTGCTTCTAGCTGAGCTGATCGGAAAGCACTCTGGGGACTTTTGCTGCACACATATGCTGCCCATGCTCCTAGATGGAATTTAACTCGCCCCTTTTGGATAAAAGTCCGAGAAAAAGAGAAAGACAAAGATAAGTCGAGAGAGACGATTGCCTAATACTTCCACAGAAAAATTAGTCCATCCTTTTCGTCCGGGGCATAATGTTCTTAAGCCAACAAGCTTTCGGAGTTTGTTGAAACTCTTAAGTTTTAGTTGCATTTCTATTCGTTAATCACTAAAGCACAAAAGATTATTGGCATTAGCCGGCCTGTCTATCCATTTTCGAATTGTATCCGACTCTCTATTCATACTGCACACATTGAAAGCTTACCTCTGAGATGAACGATGCCTGTATTGCCTTCAAGCTTAGACTTGTCTTGTAAATCATTTGCTTTAGAGCTATTTTCATCCGGGATTCAGCCTAGTTAAGTCAGAAACCGAAAGTGCTGAATTTTGGCTCATATTGCTCTGCCTGTGAGGCCTGGATAAATCAGAAGCAGGTTTTCGATAGGGTTGAGAACACTATTTTTGGATACATGGCAAGGGGAAATTTAGTGCATATGCCGACAAGTCTATTCACTTTATCATGTCATTTTCATGACTATAAAACTGACAAGCAGGCTGAAAGCATAAACTAAAAGACAGAGGCAGTGGAGAACGCAAAATGACGGTTAAGGCTACGCCGACACTAAAGTATTTTATATTGCTTCCAGAAGGACGTGGAGGCCTTTGTGAGAAATGCACTATGTAGATACAAAGAGAAAGTGGGTTTTGATGAATCTCCTGAGATAAGATTGTTGGGGGGACTTTCATTTCGTATGAAAGTGCATAAAGAAGAGATTCGTTGGTCGATCACACCAGATGAGGACGGATGAATATCGTAGCATTGCTGCCGTTTAGCTTTCATACGATGTACACATTGGCGCATTCCACGAGATTTCCCCCCTCATTTCGGGTGAAAACGAGCTGACCTTTCGTCCATCATATGATGGACATCATCATCTTCTAAGAGTCTCACGTTAACCCCAGGCCAAAAGCACTATCCGGCTTTATCTTACCTCTTATATAGACTCAATTAAATCAAAAGAAAATTAAAAACCTAGATAGATCGATATAGAGTGGTTTGGTTAATTATCTTTCATATTGGTCCTGTTATTTTTGTTCGAGTGTGTAAGTCTGTGTATGTTTGTGTTAGCGTCTATACGCAATACCGGTCCTAAATCAAAGTTGTCAAAAAGCTAATCTCATACTCTGATCATCAAGGCCTAATGGCCCAACAGAAAACTTTGACCGAGATTGCGTAATTCCATAAGCAAGTATGGTTGAGATAATGAGATATGAGCTTGTAAGTATGAAAGTCA